AGACTTTTTATGGATATCTTTGAGAAATGGCTTTCTTCTTGCCACTCTTCCATAAAGGCCAGATTTGTGCAGTGCACGACTGATTGTTGTCTTATGGACAGACTCTCCCACCTCAGCTGTAGTTATCTGCAGTTCCTCCAGAGTGATCATGGGCCTCTTGGCTGCATCTCTGATCAGTCTTCTCCTTGTTTGAGATGAAAGTTTGGAGGGACGGCCGGGTCTTGGTAGATTTGCAGTGGTCGGATACTTCTTCCATTTCAATATAATTGCTTGCACAGTGCTCCTTGAGATGTTTAAAGCTTGGGAAATCTTTTTGTATCCAAATCCGGCTTTAAACTTCTCCACAACAGTATCTCGGACCTGCCTGGTGTGTTCCTTTGTCTTCATGGTTCTCTCTGTGCTTTAAACAGAACCCTGAGACTATCAAAGAGCAGGTGCATTTATACGGAGACTTGATTACACACAGGTGCATTCTATTTATCATCATCAGTCATTTAGGACAACATTGGATCATTCAAAGATCCTCACTGAACTTCTGGACTGAGTTTGCTGCACTGAAAGTAAGGGGGCCGAATAATATTGCACGCCCCACTTTTCAGTTTTTTATTTGTTAAAAAAGTTTAAATTATCCAATAAATTTTGTTCCACTTCACGATTGTGTCCCACTTGTTGTTGATTCATGACAAAAAAATTAAATTTTATATCTTTATGTTTGAAGCCTGAAATGTGGCGAAATGTTGAAAGGTTCAAGGGGGCCAAATACTTTCACAAGGCACTGTATCTTTAAGAACACACGCACGAGCAGACGAACACACACACACTCTCATAAACACACTCTCATACACACATACACGCACTCACGGACGCTCACACACACACGCACAAACATGTCATTAAAACAGTAAAACCATGAAGAGAGAAACTTTAGTCAAAAATTACGCCCACGTTTTTTGCTTGTGATGATGGATTAAAAGAGTGTGATTGGAGTTTTGGTAAAAGTTTCTCTCTACGGGGGCCTCAGGAACGATGACTAAACCTCAGTTTTGTCCTGGTTAAGCTGGAGAAAGTTTTCTGCCATCCAGGATTTCAGGTCTAGAATTCTTAAACTTCTACATCATTTTTGCTCGTGCACAAAAGTTTGGCATACCCGAATGTCTTTGCTTATTTAAAAACACATCTTACATCTCACATGCTTGTGTGATGCATTATTTTAAAGTTAGGCCCTTCTAGTTTATGTAAATATAAACTAAAATAATGTATGTCATTCCTATTTCACTCTGCATACTTTGAAGTTTGGAAAAAAAAGCCTGTTTTTTTAAGCCTCGCCTAAAACATTCAACGTGTAAATGCCCTAAAAAAGCCTACTTCATTGGAAGAATACAATATTCGAACCCTATGGTCATTGTGTTGTTGACAACAACTGTCTAAAGTTTCAGACTTCTAAGTTTTATAGTTTTTATGCAGTTTCTGTTTTTTATCAAGTAGTGCCATTCGGAAACAATTTGGCACACTTTGTTCCAAATGCATGCTGCTTGTCATCTTTACAAGGGTACTGCGGACAGAAACATGAAGCTTGCGCAAGTTCACCCTGGTAGACCTGGCCTGCTGCCCAGCTCCTCCAGGCCTGCTCTCATCCTCGGCTCATCGCACAGCAACACCATGCACTTCCAGTCAACCAATAACCGCCAGGCCAGCAAGTTAAAAGCCGGAGAGGCCCAATTCACGGCCTTCTCAAGCTTTGCATCCTCCGCCGCCCCACCTCCTCCTTCTACCATTTCGAGCGTGCTTGCCTGCTGCCTCTGCCGCCACCAGTGCCTAGGCCCTGGGGGGAGGGGGATTATGAGCGCGAGCAAGCGCCGCGCTCAACATCATCACTCCGGGGCCTAGGGCGCCAAACATGCTTAATCAAATAAACTTCTAATTGCATTCCCCGTTGTGGGTCTCTCCAGGATGAACCGCTCCTATATCTTCATGGTCTCATTTTGTAGCTAACAAGCTGGGGAACACGGGAACACCCTGTTTGTGGGTAAGAAACAAGGCTGAATGTCCACTGACAATGAAAGAGCAGCTCATGTGTTTTTTCAGAACTTTTTTTTGCTAAATATAAATGCACATTTTTGGATTATTTCTCCAGAATTGATTAAACTTTGGAAAATACAAGTGGATATTTTTATTCCATGGACAAATCCGGAGTGAATGAGCATAAGCAATGAAGGGGGAGGTCTAATTTGTTCAAGCAGCAGAAGACTAAATACACACGTCATTTATTTTGTTCCCATATTATGTGTTATATCTTTTTAAAAGCCAAGTCTGATATTGTTTACACTTATACTGTATATAAGAAACAAGCTTTCAAATTATCTATAGCTTGTGGGTTATGAAGTTTAAAATACATCTTCTATTGCCAGCAGATGTATTTTTTTCCTCGTTTGCTCCCGCCGGCGGGGTTAAAAAGCTTAAGTGGTTAAAAAGAGCATCCATTGGCCTGGTGTCATCAGGAGACATGGAGATGTACAGCTGTGTATCATCTGCATAACTGTGGAAGTTAATTCCATGTCTCCTGATGACACCACCAAGAGGGAGCAACCTTCAGCTCCAAGATAGTAATACCCTATCCAGTTATTATAATAGATCCATGCGTCCGACCCTATGGTAAAAACAACCCAACCCCGCCATCTTTAAAACCGGCTGCTCTGCTTCAATACGTCCTCTCCTGGATCTTTTATAATAACATTCCTCCTCACTCCAGAGAAAAGGAATCGCACGGAAAGCCCCAAAAGTCAACGTCCTGGTCGGTCGGACAAAAAATGACACATCCGACCACTGTTACTAGTTACACGTTGCGCGTAAATTATGTGGTCTGACAACCATTCCCACGCTGAGGAGATACTTGGTACTATATTTAATGGAAAAGCACTATCGTAGAATTATCCAATAGAGCAAGAGGGATTGTGTTTCTTGATTTAGTTTTTTGAGTGAGCCCGTTGAAATTTCTTGTAGGCGGGTCAAACGTTCGGTCTGTAGCCAGACTAGGGAAAGAGGGCATTTGAGCCCATCGCTGGGCTCAGAGTGGTGCGGAGATGTCCCAGGACCAGTCTCCGCTCCACTCTGAGCCCAGCGATGGACCCGCTGCAGTTCGCGTACCGGCCGGGCATCGGATTTGAGGACGCCATCATCTCCCTCCTCCATCGCTCGCTGTCCCACCTTGAGTCCCACCTCCTGCTGTGAGGATTATGTTCTACGACTTCTCCAGCGCCTTCAACACCATCGAGCCGAGGCTTCTCAGGGACAAGCTGGAGACAGCTGGAGAGGACTACGACCTGTCTGAGTGGGTACTGGACTACCTCACAGACAGACCCCAGTTTGTGAGAACCAGGGACTTTGTGTCGGAGGTCCTGACCTGCAGTGTGGGGGCCCCCCAGGGGACAGTCCTCGCACCGTTCCTCTTCACCCTCTACACTGCGGACTTCAGACACAACACGGACGGTTGTGTTCTACAGAAGTTCTCTGACGACTCTGCCATCATCGGACTCAGCTCCGAGGACGATGACGCAGAGTACAGAGGTATACAGAACTTTGTGGACTGGTGTCAGTGGAACCACCTCCTCATCAACGCGGGGAAGACCAAGGAGATGGTGGTGGATTTCTGTAGACGCCACTCTGCCGCTCCAGCCCCAGTGAACATCCAGGGAAAGGGAATTGAGAGAGTGGACTCTTACAAGTACCTGGGTGTTCATTTGAATGTGTAACAGGAACTGCTGAGTCTGCACAAGTGTCACTGATAATTCACTAGTAACTTTGTCACTAGTCACTTTACCTGTTATCAGTACTACTACAGTATTACATATCTGATATTTACTGTTATCAGTACTACTGTATTATTACATATCAATCAATCAACATTACAATATTACATTATTACAGATAATTCTGCCTTTCACCAGTCACTTTACCTGTTGATATCTTACTGTTTTATTCATATCCATCTGATAATTCTCCCATTCAAGTCACTTTACCTGTTGATATTATTTCTGATGTTTATTCTGCTCATATTCATATTCTTATATTCTCCGCTGCTAATGTATAATATAGTATCTGTAAATACTTCGAACCAAGTGCAATTATAGCCCAGAGTTTATTTTATTTTATCTTAAATTTATTGTCTATTATCTTAAATAATAGACTTTGATGTGTGCAATCTGAGTGCTCTTATTTCCTTTCTCTGCTGTAATGTGCGCAATGATGACACTAAAATTTCTCCACTGTGAGACTAATAAAGGTTTATCTTATCTTATCTTATTTAAAGTGGCTCTTGACCAGAATAGTCTGCCCATGGAACTGCGGTCGCTATCCCTGCAACAATTTAAAGCAGCTCATGTTACAAGATTAAGTGTATTCTGTGCCTGTTTCTAGTGTCAAATATTCATTGATTTTTAACAGTTTATTTTATAATATTATATTTAAGGGTTGGGGCTCTCAGACTGCAACAATTTACAATTCATGTAATTTAGCCCTGAAACCCATGGATAGTGTCAGCTGTGGGGAACTGAGGGTGGGGGTCTGAAAGTGCGGTGCTGAATGTCTGGTGAACGAATAGGAATGTTATCTGTTTGTATAAAAACAAAAAGAACAAAATCCAATCAATAAAGTTTATAGTTAGAGCAAAACTTTGTTCATGAGCACTTCCCTATTGGGATTGATTGTTCATCTATATGCAGTCCATGTTTGTGCTTATGGATTAAGTGAAAGAATGTAAGAAAAGCTCCTACGGCTGCATTACAACAAAGACTGCTTCACTCACAGTGGGTCAGATTTATTTAGTTCTTGCTGTTATGAACTTGCCTGTATGTTTCTTAAGTGCGTATTTTCTTTGCACAAATATATTTTGATGAAAAAAGAATAGGCAATGATCATGTCTTTGCTTCTTTATTGACACACACAAACACAGAGTAAGTGCAGTTTTCGGGGTTCTCCATCAGAGCGGCGGTGTCTCTGCTGCTTCACCCCAGTGCTGCGATGAGCGCTTGAATCAGTTGTATTTGTGCCGCACTAAGAGCAGCACCTGCAGCAGCTGTGGTGGTGGCAGCAGTGGTGGTGGCAGCTGTGGTCGTGGTCTCACCAGAGTCTGAGGTGGAGCCTGAGCCAGAGCGAGCTACACGTTGGTGAGCCGTATCGCTCTGAAACAGAAACATGGAGGTTATTGTCCGTCAGAACACACATCAGTACGGTGCTTTTGTCAACGTCCTAAAACACGGGCAACCTGAAGAGTTCATGAGCATTCTCCTCTTTGTTTTTACACAATTGTGTCCAATAGAATTTCAGAATCTTGTAAAAGCTGAGATTTCCTGCTCAGGGCCAAACAGTTTTGCAGTGGACAGGACGAGACCTGCAGTTGAATTCAAAATGTCCACAATAAACCAAGATATAACTGCATATGTTTCTATGAACATTATACTTTATATGGACAGTATCATCATTAGTGATCAGTCGGCCTCCATCGGGTCTTTAAACTCTGAAATTATCAGATACAAACAGCAGCAATGAAACGCTCCTGGGCCCAGAGCTACACACTTTGGTGAATGTCTGACACATTCACCAAATAGATCAAACCTGGTTTTTAGAGTGTGTTCATCTAAAAGTAGTTTTCCAACAAGTGGAAACATTAATTCCACAAGATGATGAGGGATTATTGCACTTTTTTACTAGACATATTATTCACCTCTTTTAGCTGTGTTTGTATTTTATTTCAGTACTTTTTTTGACGACAAGGGGCGACAGTAGCTCAGTTTGTAGAGCATTGGCCTTAAGGCCAGAAGGTCGTGGGTTCAATTCCCACCTCTGCACCTTCTCCACCGACTCCCACTGCTGTCGTTGTGTCCTTGGGCAAGACACTTAACCCCACTTTGCCCAAAACATATCACCAAATAAAAGCAGTGAGGGTTACACTCACCTCCATGCTGTTGCTACGACGGTTTCTGTTCCCCTGTAAAAACACTTGTTGTTAATAATAATAATAATAATGCATCTGTTTTATATTGTGATTTTTTTGGCACTACTGTAGCCAACAGCTGCCCTGGGGAACACTGACAGAAGTGAGGCAACCCCTCCGACCATCACCAACCATTCAAGTGTCTTGCAGCCGCCCCACTGCGGCACCTGGTGTTCCCAGAGGTCTCCCATCTCTCACGCAAGTACACACAAGTATGACCACAAACAGCAGAAGTTCATAACTATTGTGTCCATGAACCAAAAGCATCTTGAATAAATCCATCTAAATCATGTCTTCACAATCTAAATACAAGATTCAATATTTTGAGTCAACTTGAGGCAGATAAATGAAACTAAACTTACAGGAAGTGCGAGAGAGACTCCAATGAGCACCAACAGAGCAGTTACTGAGAGCAGCTTCATGTTTGCTGAAATACACAAAAATGACATGTGAGGCTTTAGGCACTGTTAGCAATCACAAAAAGTACTACCTACTGTATTTGTGGTCATTTTGACCCTGAAACATGACCTCCCATGCAGGGACATGGATCGACATTTGGAAGAATATTATTATTTTTAGAGACTGAAAACAGCTGTGTCATAGTGGAAGGATTTGATGTTGCACAAGTTTGAAAACAGAGTCTGAAGACAGAAGGGGCAGGCAGACATTTTTGTGTCATTAGTTCCTGATGTGTGCGTGTATGGAGGTAAAAATGGAGAAAGGGCAGGCTCCTTTTGTGGCACCGGCACCTGCCACAGCTGATCAGTGGCATGTGGACAACAAGTGGCGTTTAAAACAACATGTGGGGGATAAATGGCGTTTAAAACGGCACGTGGGCAATAAATGGCGTTTAAAACGGCATGTGGACAATAAATGGCGTTTAAAACGGCATGTGGGCAATAAATGGCGTTTAAAACGGCATGTGGGGAATGAATGGCGTGTAAAACAAATACAGTTGAAAGCAGCCTGTACAAAAGACAACAAGCAGCTTTAGAGATAGTGGTCCAGTGGCTCAGATGGAAAAGCACAGGACTACAGTGTTAATGGTTGGTAGTTCAAATCCCCAGTGACTGCCAATGACATTTGCTGATGTTGGGTCCTTGGGCATAACACTTCATGGAGAATGTCAGAACTGCCATAAGTTGTTTGAAAAATGTAGTTTGAGTTATAATAAAATTTGTTGAAAGACTTAATTTCATGTATTATATGTGGTTTAGACTCTGAAGAAGTGTATATTCCTGTGGTGCACTTGGTTTATAACTGTCTCTCATGTGGAAGATTCCTGGTTCAAATCTAGGTCTGGTCTTTATTTTTTTGTTGTCAGATTAAATACAAATTGAACATGTATGAATATATATTTCATACATATGGCTTTGTGTTGTTGCAGTAGTAATCTTGCATTAGGATTAATATTGCATCATTGTTAGGGTAAAACTAAATTATGTGTAAAACACTCAAGACACAATTTTATTTAAAACCACCTGGTGAGTGGTATAGCTGGTGTGTGTCCACACATCATGCAAGAGTTCGCAGATTCAAATCCAGCCAAGATCAAAAACTTTTTTATGACGGTTATTTCTTTATACATATATACAGTATATCTATAAATATCTATATATATCTTTATATATATATATACAGTCTCCCCCCTGGACTGCCACCTTAACGTGGTGGGGGAGTTTGAGTACTCGGGTGATCCTGGGAGCTATGCTGTCTGGGGCTTCATGCCCCTGGTAGGGTCTCCCATGGCAGACAGGTCTCAGGTGACGAGTCAGACGAAGCGCAGTCCACAACCCGTCATGGATCGCACAAAAAAAGAACAAGTGACGTCGCCCGGCATGGCGCAGCCGGGGCCCCACCCTGGAGCCAGGCCTGGGGTCGGGGCCCGAAAGCGGGCGCCTGGTGGCCGGGCCTTAGCCCACGGGGCCCGGCCGGGCTCAGCCCGAAAGGACGACGTGGGCAGTCCCTCCTGTGGGCCCACCACCCGCAGAGGGGTCCGTGGCGGCTCGGTGCAGAGAGGACTGGGCAGCAGTCGAAGGCGGAGACCTCGGCGACCCAGTCCGCACACCCAACATCTAGCTCTTGGGACGTGGAACGTCACCTCACTGGGGGGGAAGGAGCCCGAGCTTGTGGGGGAGGTCGAGAGGTACCGACTAGAGATAGTCGGCCTCACCTCCACACACAGCTTGGGCTCTGGAACCCAACTCCTTGAGAGGGGTTGGACGCTCCACTTTTCTGGTGTATCTCGCGGGGAGAGGCGGCGAGCTGGGGTGGCCATACTCATTGCCCCCCATCTCAGCCGCCACGTGTTGGAGTTCTCCCCGGTGAATGAGAGGGTCGCGTCCCTCCGCCTTCGGGTGGGGGACAAGTCTCTCACTGTTGTGACGGCCTACGGGCCTAACAGCAGTGCAGAGTACTCGGCCTTCTTGGAGTCCTTGGGAGGGGTACTGGACAGTGCACCGCCCGGGGACTCCGTCATTCTCCTGGGGGACTTTAACGCCCATGTGGGAAGCGCCAGTGACACTTGGAGAGGGGTGATCGGGAAGAACGGCCTCCCTGATCTGAACCCGAGTGGTGTTCAGTTGTTGGACTTCTGTGCTAGTCACGGTTTGTCCATCACGAACACCATGTTTGAGCACAAGGGTGTCCACCAGTGCACGTGGCACCAGGACACCCTAGGCCGGAGGTCGATGATCGACTTTGTTGTCGTATCATCTGACCTTCGGCCGCGTGTTTCGGACACTCGGGTAAAGAGAGGGGCAGAGCTGTCAACCGATCACCACCTGGTCGTGAGTTGGATCCGCTGGCAGGGGAGGAAGCCGGTCAGACCTGGCAGACCCAAGCGTGTAGTGAGGGTTTGCTGGGAACGTCTCGCTGAGACCCCTGTCAGACGGACTTTCAACTCACACCTCCGGGAGAGCTTCTCCCAGGTCCCGGCGGAGGAGGGGGATATTGAGTCTGAGTGGACCATGTTCTCTTCCTCTATCGCCGATGCGGCGGCTCGTAGCTGTGGTCGCAAGGTCTCTGGTGCTGGTCCCGGCGGCAACCCCCGAACCCGGTGGTGGACACCGGCAGTAAGGGATGCCGTCAGGCTGAAGAAGGAGTCCTATCGAGCCATGATGGTTCGGGGGACTCCTGAGGCAGCTGTCCAGTACCGGCAGGCCAAGCGTGCCGCGGCCCGGGCTGTTGCAGAGGCAAAAACCCGGGACTGGGAGGAGTTCGGAGAGTCCATGAAGCATGACTATCGGTCGGCCTCGAAGAGATTCTGGCAAACCGTCCGGCGCCTCAGGAGGGGGAAGCAGTTCTTTGCCAACACCGTGTACGGTGCGGGGGGTGAGCTGCTGACCTCGACCGGGGATATTGTCGGACGGTGGAAGGAATACTTCGAGGTTCTCCTCAATCCCCCCGTCACGTCCTCCGCTCCGGAGGCAGAGGCTGAGGATGTTGGGGCGGATACTTCTGTCACCCTGGCAGAGGTCACCAAGGTGGTTGGCAGCCTCCTTGGTGGCAAGGCGCCGGGAGTGGATGAGATCCGTCCTGACTATCTAAAGTCTCTGGATGTTGTAGGACTGTCTTGGCTGACACGTCTCTGCAACATCGCGTGGCGATCGGGGGCGGTGCCAATGGAGTGGCAGACTGGGGTGGTGGTTCCTCTCTACAAGAAGGGAGACCGGAGGGTGTGTTCCAATTATCGTGGGATCACACTCCTCAGCCTCCCTGGTAAGGTTTACTCCAAGGTACTGGAGAGGAGGTTACGGCCGATGGTCGAATCTCGGATTCAGGAGGAGCAGTGTGGTTTTCGTCCCGGCCGTGGAACACTGGACCAGCTCTACACTCTCCATCGGATACTCGAGGGTTCATGGGAGTTTGCCCAACCTGTCCACATGTGCTTTGTGGATTTGGAGAAGGCGTTCGACCGTGTTCCCCGGGGTGTCCTTTGGGGGGTCCTCCGTGAGTACGGGGTCCGGGGTCCTCTGCTGAGGGCCGTCCGGTCCCTGTATGACCGGAGCCAGAGCTGCGTGCGCATTGCCGGCAGTAAGTCAGACCTGTTCCCTGTGCACGTTGGCCTCCGCCAGGGCTGCCCTTTGTCACCGGTTCTGTTCACTGTATTCATGGACAGAATTTCTAGGCGCAGCCAAGGGTCGGAGGGGGTCCGGTTCGGGGACCACAGGATTTCATCTCTGCTGTTTGCAGACGATGTTGTCCTGTTGGCTCCAACGAACCAGGACCTACAACATGCACTGGGACGGTTTGCAGCCGAGTGTGAAGCGGCTGGGATGAGAATCAGCACCTCCAAATCTGAGGCCATGGTGCTCGACCGGAAAAAGGTGCCCTGCCCTCTTCAGGTGGGTGGAGAGGCCCTTCCTCAAGTGGAGGAGTTCAAGTATCTCGGGGTCTTGTTCACGAGTGAGGGAAGGATGGAGCGTGAGATTGACAGGCGGATCGGTGCAGCGTGCGCAGTGATGCGGTCGCTGTATCAGACCGTTGTGGTGAAGAGGGAGCTGAGCCGAAAGGCAAAGCTCTCAATTTACCGGTCAATCTTCATTCCCTCCCTCACCTATGGTCATGAGCTTTGGGTAATGACCGAAAGAACAAGATCGCGGATACAAGCGGTCGAAATGAGCTTCCTCCGCAGAGTGGCTGGGCGCTCCCTTAGAGATAGGGTGAGGAGCTCAGTCACACGGGAGGAGCTCGGAGTAGAGCCGCTGCTACTCCACGTCGAGAGGAACCAGTTGAGGTGGCTCGGGCATCTGTTCCGGATGCCTCCTGGACGCCTCCCTGGGGAGGTGTTCCGGGCACGTCCCACCGGGAGGAGGCCCCGGGGAAGACCCAGGACACGCTGGAGGGACTATGTCTCTCAGCTGGCCTGGGAACGCCTTGGAGTCCCCCCGGACGAGCTGGAGGAGGTGTGTGTGGATAGGGAAGTCTGGGCGTCTCTGCTTAGACTGCTGCCCCCGCGACCCGGCAACGGATGAAGCGGAAGAAAATGGATGGATGGATGGATATATATACAGTTTTTATATAACTGCCATTAAAAAAAAAAACGGTACTTTGATTCGATCTGCCAATCTTACGCACTTTAGACGAATGTTTAATGACTGCGCCACTTATTTTGTGTTTTGGCAAAGAAAAAACCGAAAGATTCTATTGTTGTTTCAGGACATTTCATCAAGAATGGAGCCAACCAAAGATGGTGAAGAGTGATGGATTGAAAAATACAAGCAGAAAGTTGTGTAATTGGAACATGAGGTTTCATCTCTATATTGTTAAAATCTTCATTCCTGCTCTTGGACCGTTTAAGCTGTGTCTTATACTTTGCATTCTTTTATAAAAAAATATATGTATTAATGCTCTTTCTTATTGTTCCATGTTTCTGATGTGGTTTTATTAAAGAATAAGAGAAATAAAATGTTTTTTTCTTTTGTTTTATTATATATATATATATATATATATATATATATATATATATATGGGGATGGTGTGTTCAGGGTGATGAGCTGTGTTGCTTTTACGCCAAACATATT